TTGCTTCCTGACCTGCATACAGGTTTCTCAAGAGGCAGGTCAGGTGCTCTGGTATTCTCATCTCTTGAAGAATTTTCCACAGTTTATTGTGATCCACACAGTAGGCTTTGGCATAGTCAATAAAGCAGAAATAGATGTTTTTCTGGAACTCTCTTGCTTTTTTGATGATCCAGCGGATATTGACAATTTGATCTCTGGTTCCTCTGCCTTTTCTAAAACCAGCTTGAACATCTGAAAGTTCTCAGCTCACGTATTGCTGAAGCCTGGCTTGGAGAATTTTGAACATTACCTTACTAGCGTGTGAGATGAGTGCAATTGTGCGGTAGTTTGGGCATTCTTTGGGATTGCCTTTCTTAGGGATTGGAATGAAAATTGACCCTTTCCAGTACTGTGGCCACTGCTGAGTTCTCCAAATTTGCTGGCATATTGAGTGCAGCACTTTCACAGCATCATCTTTCAGGATTTTAAATAGCTCAACTGGAATTCCATCACATCCACTAGCTTTGTTCTTAGTGAAGCTTTCTAAGGCCCACTTGACTTCACATTCCAGAATGTCTGGCTCTAGGTGAGTGATCACACCATTGAGATTATCTGGGTCGTGAATATCTTTTTTGTATAGTTCTTCTGTGTATTTTTGCCACCTCTTCTTAATATATTCTGCTTCTGTTAGGTCCATACGATTTCTGTCCTTTATTGAGCCCATTTTTGCATGAAATCTTCCCTTGGCATCTCTAATTTTCTTGATGAGATCTCCAGTCTTTCCCATTCTGTTGTTTTCCTCTATTTCTTTGCACTGATCGCTGAGGAAGGCTTTCTTATTTCTCCTGACTATTCTTTGGAACTCTGCATTCAAATGGGAATATCTTTCCTTTTCTCCTTTGCTTTTTGCTTCTCTTCGTTTCACAGCTATTTGTAAGGTCTCCTCAGACAACCATTTTGCCTCTTTGCATTTCTTTTCCATGGGGATGGTCTTGATTCCTGTCTCCTGTACAATGTCACCAAACCTCGTCCATAGTTCATCAGGCTCTCTGTCTATCAGATCTAATCCCTTAAATCTATTTCTCACTTCCTCTGTATAGTCATAAGGGATTTGATTTAGGTCATACCTGAATGGTCTAGTGGTTATCCCTACTTTCTTCAGGTTACGTCTGAATTTGGCATTAAGGAGTTCATGATCTGAGCCACAGTCAGCTCCCGGTCTTGTTTATGCTGACTGTATAGAGCTTCTCCATCTTTGGCTGCAAAGAATATAATCAGTCTGACTTCAGTGTTGACCATCTTCTGATGTCCATGTGTAGAGTCTTCTCTTGTGTTGTTGGAAGAGGGTGTTTTCTATGACCAGTGTGTTCTCTTGGCAAAACTCTATTAGCCTTTGCCCTGCTTCATTCCATACTCCAAGGCCAAATTTGCCTGTTATTCCAGGTGTTTCTTGACTTCCTAGTTTTGCATTCCAGTCCCCTATAATGAAAAGGACATCTTTTTTGGGTGTTAGTTCTAAAAGGTCTTGTAGGTCTTCATAGAACCGTTCAACTTCAGCTTCTTCAGTGTTACTGGTTGCGGCATAGGCTTGGATTACCGTGATATTGAATGGTTTGCCTTGGAAATGAACAGAGATTATTCTGTCATTTTTGAGATTGCATCCAATTACTGCATTTCGGACTCTTTTGTTGACCATGATGGCTACTCTATTTCTTCTAAGGGATTCCTGCTCACAGTAGTAGATATAATGGTCATCTGAATTAAATTCACCCATTCCACTCCATTTTAGTTCGCTGATTCCTAGAATGTCAACATTCACTCTTGCCATCTCCTGTTTGACCACTTCCAATTTGCCTTGACTCATGGACCTAACACTCCAGGTTCCTATGCAATATTGCTCTTTTCAGCATCGGACCTTGCTTCTATCACTAGTCCCATCCACAACTGGGTATTGTTTTTGCTTTGGCTTCATCCCTTCATTCTTTCTGGAGTTATTTCTCCACTGATCTCCAGTAGCATATTGGGCATTGGATAGCATCACCAACTGAATGGACATGAGTTTGAGCCAGCTCTAGGAGCTGGTGATGGACAGGGAAGCCTGGCGTGCTGCAGTCCATGAGGTCGCAAGAGTAGGACATGACTTAGCGACTAAACCACCACTTTGTGTTGAAGGTTCCACAAAAGCACTAGAAGTGGCTCCATTCCTGCTGCCATGCTGACTGTCTCAAGGCAGACTGATGTGTCCTAGGACCGGAACACAAGGTGTCATCTGAGAGGCTTTGGTCGGCTAACCATTCCCTGCTATATATTGATTGTGACAACCTTCCACATGGTCATTTTCACGCTAGTCACCATCTTACAACCTTTGTTACCATCTGAGCCATGTTTTAAAGCATTCGACTGCCAGGCCAAACTCAGAGGATCTTTAACATCCTTGAAGAGAAAAGGTAAGCTTTGTATTGTACCAAAGGATTCAGGTTCTGATCTTAAAATATTAATCGCTCAGTGAATAATCGTCTCCTTGGACCTGTTCAGAAATGTATTCATGTTGATATTACTTTTCCTTACAATTTTTGGTGTTGCTAGGATCACAAGTTACATAGTCTATTGCTTAGAATCCCAGTCCTTAAAGGAGAAACTGTCTTCTTGTTACTGACTTGGAATCAGTGGCTTCCAAGCCTTTTTGCCCCAGCTACAGTTCCAGAGAAATGCCTCCTTTTAACTTTGCCCACTCTTCCCAGGAAGACTTCCCTCAAGGCCCCAGATTTCCACTAACAGCTCCTCTGCTGACTCTGAACCCTCAATGGGCCACACTGTCCAAGTTATGACCCCGAGGGCTAGGTACTGGCTAGGGGAACATCCATGAATGAATTGCTGCACTGGGTGCCCCTGCACAAGTCTCTTCCTTCTCTGGGCCCCTAATTCCTCCTCAATGTGATGGCATCGGTGCCAAGGGCCTCTCAGCTCTGATGGTCAAGGGCTTGCCTGGTTTCTGGTGGTTTGAGACAGGTCTGCCTGCAGTGGGACTGGCTTGGGGCTCCAGGTGGTCTCGTGTGCAGGAGATCATCACAGGTCAGCTGTGTGATGCCATCTGTGGTGGGACCTCATAGTGGGGCAACTGGGGGAGAGGGAAATACAAGGCAGAGGGCCAAGGCAGGTGCTGGGGAGGGGTTGCTCCCAGAGGAGAAGGCAAACTTAGAATTCCTTGACCTCATAAGGAAACGGCTTGGGTTCTGTATGGGGGGGGAGGGCGGTTGGCAAGGGGAGGCCGGCCTCCGGGACAGGGGCCAGCACTGCAAAAGAAGGCTTAGAGAGGTGCTGGGGAATCTGATCTGGCCCAAACTCCAAATTCCGCGGGATCGGCTCTGAGGAGCCCAATCGCAAATGTCATCTCCCTCCCTGCTTGGAGATAAGCAGCAAGACCCTTGCCCTGCCCAGGGCGCTGCCCCTCATCCGACCATGCATACGTGGGGCCCTCATATTTTGGGAGGTGGAGAAATCCTCATCTCTAAAACCTGGCCAACAGCAACCTAGCAGAGGGGCTTCGTACATGGTTAAACCAGGGCCCTATCTTCTCTCCACCACATGAACGAACCTTCGCTGAGACCAAGGCTGTGACCCTCACCAGCTGGGCCAGTCTGCCAGCCTTCATCCCAGTTCTGGGAGGGGCGCTTCAGTTTCCCCTCATTCTATTGGCTGGCTTTGTTAGAACGTGACTGTCATCTCCTTCCTAATTTTCGTGGGAGAGCTCTTTCCTGACCAAGGCTCTCACCAACTCCCTGTGACAGGTCCCGGCTGCCTTCCATGGTTTGCCTGCTTCAGTCCCCTGGCCCCTTGTCCAGGAGGCCCCCTCTGCACTCCCATGACCCTGAAGCCCACTGAGACCCAGGTGCTCAGAGCACATTATTGGAAGCCTCGGGCAGGTCCCTCTGGCAGTCTCCTGGGTCACGCTGGGCTCAGGGGCCAGCCCAGTCACGGAGGGGAAGCCCCTCGCGCCTCGAGTGGGCTGCCGGTGGGTGAGGCAGGCACCCGCCATCTCTGCATGCATCGCATCACTGGGCGCCCCGTGCCAGTGCCCATTGGCATGCCCGGGCCCCTTCCAAGGCTGCTGGCTTCTGGAGCACCGGTGGCCTCCTGGCCCAGTGCCCCATTTCCTCCGGGGTGCAGCAGGGAGGGAAGGAGGCGGTGGGGACCTGCGGGCTCAGGCCAGGGTCCCACAGAGCGGGAAGGCGTGCTGGGGCAGGGGGTCTGGGGGTCTGGGGGGTGGCTTAGGGTCGGGTGGCTACGGGCTTCCCTGGCGTGGCACGCGCGCGCCCAGCGCGGGCAGCGGCGCCTAGTCCAGACCCACGCTCTCCAAGGGCTCGCCCCTTCAGATCGGACCCTTTCTCTCGGCTGCCGGCGAGCCGGCCGGCCGGGGCGAGGCCAGGAACCCCCGAGCGCCGGAGCTCGGTGCAGACGGGTCAGTTGGGACCTAGTGGAGTCCACGTGACTCACGGAGGGCTAGCCCCGCCCAGCTCCCACATCCTGGCCAGTTTCTGCTGGTTGCACGGCCACAGGCCACGCCCCTCCACCCTTCTGACCCGAATAGCCGAGCGGGTGACGTCGCGGCTCGCGGGCCCCGCCCCGCTCCCAAGTCGGGGCGGGTCTAAGCTAGTTCCCGTTGCACCCAGGCCCCGCCCCTCGCTGGCGTCCGGGCCTAAATGCGCCAGCGTGTGACGTCTCTGGGCTCGCCAGCTCCGCCCACCCCCACGGCCCGGCCCATCTGTGCCGTTTGAGCTGCGGCCCCTCCCACCCGGGAGGGGTGACGTCTAGGCTCGCGAGCCCCGCCCCGCCCCGCCCATTCCCAAGGCCCCACCAATCTGTGCTGGCGCCTCTTCGCGAGGCCCGGCCCCTCTCCGCGCAGCGCGCACTGCCTGCCAAGACCGCGGCTGTGACACGGGCGTGACGCGCGCGTAGCCGCTCCCGAGGCGCTCCTGTTGCCCCCGCCGCGCTCCCAGGACATCGTCTCTCGGCCGGTGTCGCTAGGCCCAGGCCTCCGCCGTCCGCTGCCCGCCATGGACGACCACGCAGTCCTGTCGGACTCGGAGCTGGCCGCCGTGCTGCGCAGTACAACATCCCACACGGGCCCGTCGTTGGTACGCGGTGGACGGAGGGCGGGCCCCCTCCCCGCGCTTAGCCCCGCGGCCCGCTCCCTGACCGCCCTGTGCCCCGCGTCTGATCAGGTTCCACTCGCAAGCTCTACGAAAAGAAAATCTTCGAGTATGAGACCCAGAGGCAGAAGCTCTCGCCCCCGAGCTCGTCTGCATCCTCTTTCTCCTATCGGTTCTCGGGTGAGGCTTCCGTCCCAGGGCCCTGCCTGGCCGCCCTTGGGGACACGGTTTGGGTGACTCTGAGAAAGGGGTCGCGGGGGTGTGGCCAGGGCACTGGCCGGAAGGGGCGCGGGGGAAACGGGAGGGGACCCCTGTGGGCCATGGTCCTAGCCCCTCCCCCATTCAGACTTAGATTCGGCGTCCATGGACTCGGATATGTATGATCTGCCCAAGAAAGAGGACGCCTTACTTTACCAGAGCAAGGGTAAGGCAGGGGTGGGATGGGCACCCTGACACCTTCCTTCCATTGTCAGCCAGAACCTGAGACCTCAACCCCAAGCGTCCTGCAGTAGCCCTGGAGGGGAGAAACCGTGTCGCAGGCCCCCCCAGTGGGATTCAGATTAGGGCCATCGGGCCAGGTAGGGACACCGTTGCCTCTTCTGCTACCGCTGCCCCCCCTTCCCAAGGCTATAATGATGACTACTATGAGGAGAGTTACTTGACCACCGGGACTTATGGGGAACCTGAGTCTATGGGCACATCCAAGGGCTTCCGCCAGCCCTCAGCTTCACTCTCAGATGCTGACCCTTTTCACCGCCAGGTGAGCTGACTTGTCGGGCACCCTGTACTTGGGTACAACCTGAGGGGGTCCTCATGGGGTTTGGATGAGTCAAGGGGACCACTGGGCGCAAATGGTGCCTCAGAAACCTCCAGGGAGAGGCGGGTCCTGCAGACACCTGCCTGGTGAGGGCCTTTCTTTGGGGAGGGGAAGGGGCTGTCAGAACTGTTTTGACTAGTGTGCCCAGGACGTGCCCTGGCTCTGGTCTGGGATCTAGGTTTGAGCTCTTTTTGAGAATCCTGGGGCACAAAGTAGGATGCAGGCAGCCGGGACAAGTGGCACGGCCCTGCAGACATAAGGCTGGGGACCAAGAAGGGGGTCTGGAGGGTGGCAGGGCCCAGGCCTTTAAGCAGTGTTCAGAACAGGCTGGGAAGGGTAGTGTGGACTGAGGGTATGACCTGTCATACCTACATCGACCCCGCCAATAGGTATCCTCACTCTGATTCACTTCTGTAGGTCCGTGATGACAATCTTTTCTCTTTGGAAGAGGAAGGCAAGGATCGGTGAGTATTAAGGCAAGCCAGGAGCTGGGGCTGATTCAGGGCTCAGGCCCTCCTGGTCTACCTGCTGCCCTCTTTGCCTCAGGGAACACCTCCTGTATGGCCAGAACAGTGCCCACCAGAACATCGCACACTACCGCCCTATTTCCAACATCTCCAGAAGCTCCCTGGGCCTGTCCTATTATCTCACATCCTCCTCCACCTCGAGTGTGTCCTCGTCTTCATCTTCGGCCCCTTCATGGCTCACCCGCCGAGCCATCCGGCCTGAAAAGCAGGCCCCTGGGGCTGCCGGCCTGGGCCAGGATCGCCAGGTCCCGCTCTGGGGCCAGGTGCTGCTGTTCCTGGTCTTTGCTGCCTTCCTGCTCTTTGTTTACTACTCCATGCAGGCCGAGGATGGCAACCCCTTCTGGGCAGAGCCCTAAGGGTCTGGCCTCTTACCTTGGAGGCCAGCTCCTCTGGGAAGCCCTGGCTGACTGCCTTATCAGTGTTTGATGCGGGAGGGGGGTTGGGGCTTTTCTGTGTGTTCTAGCTTGGGGTTACCAGGACAGGGGCAATGTTTGCTGACCCCTTCCCTGTCCTGCCAGGGAGGCAGCAGGCCTGGGCCCTCTGCAGCATGGTGGGCCTGGGTGGGCTTGCCTCTGGATCCTCCTGGCCCTGCTTTCCTGTCACCCTTTGGGCCTAGGAAGGCAAGACCCTTCTCCTGGAGAGGAGAACACGGTTTTGGTCATCGCATGCCTCCTATTTGTCGTCACCTCATGGGGGGATTAACCAAAGGCCACCCTGAGTTTGTTTTCGTGGATACAATAAAAGACCATTTATTTTTAACATGTGGGTTCTTCTCTTTAACGTGGGGAGGGGTTGGGCTGCCCCCCCTACTAAAGGTTTCCAGGCCTTGGGTCTCCAGAATTGCCATCCGACTTTGTCAGTTCATCCTTTCGTCCTTTGAGCCTGAGATAGGGATCCTAGGCTACCCATAGACTCATTTGTGTTCTGCTTTTGGTGCCCGCTCCCTGACATGTTACCAGAAGCTCTTGTAAGTACTTATAAAAAATAATGTCACACAGAGAGCCCACTGGGAAACGCAGGTGAGGCTGCTTGCACCGTGTCAGTTCTGGGTGTTTCAACTGGGACCAGCAGACACTAACCGTGGTGTCCAAGAGCAGAGTGATGGGAAGGAAATGAGGCATTTGCTTGATGGGCTGTTTCTGCTGGAAAGCTGGTTGTCTAATGACAGGGAAAGGCTCTCAGCCCTCTGGAATGTTTCATCCCCTTTCAGTAAATCAGCTCCTCACCTGGGTATTACCACAAGGTTTTCTGCTCTGGGCACTTCACAGTTTTCACAGTTTACATGTGATTTTAACATCGAGTTGGAGAAAGAGATGGCAACCCACTCCAGTATTCTTGCCTGGAGAATCCCATGGACAGAGGCGCCTGGCGGGCTACAGTCCAAGGGGTCGCTAAGAGTCAGACACGACTGAGCGACTATCACTTCACATTAAGTGCTAAGGAAACCTGGGGTAAAATGCCACACTGTGCGTCTGGGCTCCGCACTGCCTGTAGAGGGCAGTAAAGCCCGGAGAGGCAGGCACCCAAAAGGGAAGCAGAGGCACCCCCTGGGCCACCATTGGGCGGGACCCTGGCACCTCAGCTCTGACGGGCTCCTTCCTACAGGTGGCAGGACTTGGCAGGGCCTGCCCTCTCACCTGCACCTGCACCGTGGTCTCCTGAGCCTTTGGGGCTCTCCGCTGTCTATGGCTGCTGGGTAAGCTCTGCTCAGGGCCAGGACTGGAACCTTTTTACCAAAGCTCCCGGACACTTCTTCTTGCTGCATCCTAGTCTCTGCACTTGGGTGGGGTGAGGTGGGCTGGGGTGGGTGTTTTCTTAAAACCAACAGGCTTTTTTTGTGCATTTCAAATACACCAGAAAGAAGTGGCTTCTCATATTCTCACCCTTCCCAGAGCCCCAGCCTCCTTCGTTTGCTGCTAGGCACTCCCCCGATTCCCATGGCACCCAGTCCGCTGTGGCCGGGACACCCCTGGGCCCCCGGCATCTGTCCTGTGCCATCTTAGACCAAGAGCTGAGACACGGATGCTCCATGGTCGGCGGTGGGCATGGGCAGGAGGTGTGGCCTGCTCATCTGTGACCATAGGGGCAGGTGGTCAAATCGGTGAACTGGATGGGGGAGAACAAGGAGTCCCATCATCAGGGCATCAGAACTCTGCAGAGGCATGGCGCAACATCTCATTTCGGCACGTGATCTCAAGGGCTCCTCCTGGGGGTGGCTGTGCAGCGAGAGCCCCACGGGGTCCTGGTGGAGAGGAGGGATTGCAGGGAGGAAGGGGAGAGAGATGGCATGGCCTCTGGACGGAATGGTCCCCTCCGGGCTTCAGATCCTCCATCTGCAGGACCGAGGGGGAGGCTAGATGTGCTTGGCAACCACTGTTGTGTCTGAAGGAAGACGGAGTCGCCTCCCAGGTGACATAGTCTCCCCCTTTTATTTCCCATAGGTGACCATATCCATTGATCACCATGCACCAGACGGAGGGTTTCTGAGGGCCTTGCTTCAAAAGCGCTGCCCCAGGGCTCCGAGATACCCACCTCCCAGAGAGCTCTCTTGAGGATTCTGGACCCCCCTCCAGACTCCCACCAAGCTTAGCCTTGCTTCCAAGGCCCTGGAGCCCCATAAGGGCGCCTGAATGCCTCCGAATACTCTGGGCACCCCCAGGCAAAGCTTTTGAGGGCTCCCTGAGCCCCCAAGAGACCTCAGGCTTCCAAGTCCCTACCTAGGGCTTTCCAGGGCTCTGAGACCAACCCCCAGGCTCCTGCCTGGACCATTGGCTGCAGTGGTACTGGGAGCACAGCAGGGGGCATCAGCTTCCCAGCGTGCAGGGCATCTCCTGCCATCTCAGGTACCACCAGAGCAAAGTCGGGGGATGGTGGTGGTGGTTGGCAGACATGGAGGAGCTGGAAAACCCTGGATGAAGCAACTGAGCTAGTAGTTTGGGACCCTGCCAGACAGCCTGAGCAGCATCCCTGGTGGAGCACAGAGAGAAGTGCCCGGGAGGTATGGCAAGCGGGGGGAGCTCCTGATGCTACCCTTGACGTCAGCCATGCCCTCCCCCCGCCCCCAGGTCTAGGGGATGCAGCAGACAGCGTTCTGCAATCTTGGACCACCCCCACCTTGACCACTCTACTGGGCTAGTCCCAGCACTGAAGAAGCAGCTATCCAAGAGTGGGTACAAGCCTGTGGGTAACAAGCCCATGAGGATGAACCCCCCCAAGGGACTAAAGGAAAGGAGGGTGTCACTGTTACTGCCCATGGGGCTGGCCTTTGGCCTTAGGCTCAGCATAACCATGCCCTGGAGACTAGCTCCAGCTCCTCCCCAGGGCAGGCAGGAACTCAGTGAAAAAAATCGAGTCCCACCCAGAGAAGTCCCCTACCACTGGGGAGAGCCAGGTAGCGAGGTCCTCCCAGAAAGCCCCTTCTCACCTCTGCCAGCCCACCAGGCACCACTCCCCTACCTGAACTCACCCAGATTCTCCTGCCTGCTGCCTGACCAGTCTGCCAAGAGGAGACAGTCCTCACTGCTATCAGTCCTCCCTACCATCCCGTTCCAAAGCCTGCCTGGTGGGGGCCCCCAGAGGGAGAATGGCCACAGAGGAATGCTTAACATAACCAGGAGTCCTGACCCCTCCCCGGATGCCACATCACACCTGGGCGGTCATGAGGCCCGTGGGGTGGCAAGGGGAGAAGCTGGAAACTGCAGAGGGAACGACCCTGAGGACAGCCCTGAGGACGGAGGCCACGGGCCAGGGCAGGCCAGAGCCTCGGCCAGGCAGGGGCAGGAGGGAGCAAGAAAGGGCGCCACCTCTGGAGGGCTTCTGGAAAGGGGGACATGCAGATGGCACCAGGAGCCCATCTGCTGGGGGCAAAGACCTGAGACCTGGCCCCAAGGAGCAGACCCACCAGAGCACACCCCAGCTGCCAGGACACAGTCAGGGGCAAGCTGGGCCTCCCCTGGGCTCTGCACAGGGGATCCAGCCTGGGCCACCCTCCCGGAGCCAGCAGGGGAGGGGACCCAGCCCTAACAGGCCCCACGGCCGAGCCCTGCCCGCCACCAGGTGCCCGGAGCAGGGGAGGGGTCCAGCCACAGACGCCCGCCAGGGCCCTTCTTCCCTACTAAGCCTGGGAGGGGGTGTCTGGTCACCCTGTGGGGAACGGCCCCCACATCCTGCAGGTCCTGTCTGCTCTGAGCCGGGGGGATGGGGGAGCTGACCACTCCCACACCATGACCAGCCCCCGCCCCGCCCCAGGGCACCCCTGCACCGCACCCTCCCTGGTGCCTGCTCCCCCAGGAGGGTGGGCCAGACCTAGGTGAAGCGAGGTGCTCAGCGCCCCCAGGACTGGACGGCGAACCACCCACAGAGAGGGAGCCTCAGCGTTTCAATGATGGTGACGGTCTAGAGACCCTTGAAGGACCCGCACTGCCCTGGTCTGGGTGGCCACACCCCACTCCAGGGCTCAGCGCCAGGGCACTGACGGGGACCCCGCTGGAACCCTGACAGAGACAGTGGGCCAAGGGGGGAGCAGCTGCTAAGTCAGGGTCAGCGAACATGAGGAGTGATGGATGCTGGTAGCCAGGAACTCGAGTGTGTGTGTGTGTGTCTGTGTGTGTGTGTGTGTGTGTCTGTGTGTCTGTGTGTCTCATCCAGCTCCACGTCCCAGCTGTGGACAGGTCCCCAGAGGACAAGGCCCGCCACCTACAGCAGCCTCTTCCACAGGCCACGGCCACCCC